GGGGGGGAGAGAGAGGTTGTAGTGGTACCCGCAAGCGCTGCTTAATAGAAAATAACAGAAAGAATTTGAAAAAGATTATGAGCTCTAAGTCTAAGCCATTCTGACTGACGGGAAAGTAGACGCAGAAAGTGAAAAGGGTTTTTAGAATGTAGCAATAAAAACAATCAAACACTTCGTACATAAGGTATAGTACTAATTTTGCTTTTTAATTCTTTGAAAAAGACAAAAATCTTCAAAATGAAAAAAATGTTGACACACGAATTTAGTTCATCACAGAACGAAATATGCCATTGAAATAAATAAATAAATAAATAAATAAATAAATAAATAAATAAAATGTTGTTGGACGAAGAAGTTAAAAAGACACAGGCTGCAACACTGCCAAGGTGTAAAATTAAAATTTGGTGTAGACCTTCCGCAGACTGCCTTCCCAAGTTTCCAAGACTTTCTGCTCTTTCGGATTAATATCTGTTAAATTTCCAAATACTTTGTAAATTGGCAGATTGCTAGCTTTTGTGTTCATTTTGAAATGCTGCGCCATTTGTGGTGGAAAATGGTGAGGAAATAATAAGGACGACCTGATGTCGTTTTATAATAAATACGAAAGCATCTAAACACAGACTTAAAAAAGAAACCATGAATTTAGCGATGCACAAACAAAAATATGATAAAAGCGCAGAGAGAAGATTTACGTCTCTAAAACTATCAATTTTAAAGCGGGTTTTACACTTACCTAGAGATGTAGTCTTCTGGGCGTCCGCGGGCCTTGGGGACGTAGCCGTAGTTGTAGCCTCTGCGGGCGTAGCCACCATATCCGTAGCCAGAACGGGGAGCGTAATCGCCGTAGTAACGGTCGCCTCCCTTGTATGAGGTGGCGGCGGCGGCGCAGATAACAACAGCGAGGACAACAAGCTTCATCATCTTGGCGGTCGACAGGGCGTACGGCAAAATCTCCGACGGTCTACGAGTTTCAGAAGAAAGGTACGGGGTTTGCGTCGCCGGGGAGGTTTTATACTACGTTTTACGTGTGAAGCGTCATTAGCGTCGCACGTGAGACATACTTAAAGTTATGTGGCTGGTATTGTGCTTCTTTAATAGTATTTGCCCCTGAGTTTAGTTCACCCCATCATATAATACATATTAGGTAACGTGTACTATTTTCTGAGCCCTGGTTGTTTTCTGAGATGGTCCTGTGTCGTGTTGGATTGTTATTTGTAAATTGCCAGATTTCGAGATGGAGGCGATTGCCGGCAAGTCGCGTGGCCATTAATGTGTAAATTATCACTAGAGGACACACCTCTTAATTAGAAGGGTGACGTCTCCTGCGCTCTCAACCTATCACATGTTGTCGAAGAGAGACGCAGAGAAAAGCTGAAGGATTATAAATTGATACATTCCCTCCCCAGATGTCGAAACGCTCACCACAAAGCCATTATTATCTTTCTTTTAATAATGGCATAAATTTCACCAGACACAATTTTGAAAAAAAAATTACCCTCGTGAATGTTGACGCCGTGACCTTCCATCGGGTAAGGCGTCGCCCCTATCAAAACCATTAAGTTCTGCTAAACCGCTCTTAGCAGGCGATCTTTAAGTTACGTTTGATGTTTTTACATCATATTTATTACTTTAACCGTTGGAACTATCTGTCTGAAAATGTTCATTTAACGTGTGTTCGTGTCTTCTAACACATGTCTTCGTGACCTTACCTTACATAATGCTAACACTGTTTGTCGAGAGGTCAAAAGAAGGAATTATAAATATAAACGTTCAATGTTTTCTGTGGTTACGTGTGTATTTTTGTCTACCTGGTGGAATAAACTTGCTACATGTAAGCAAATAGCAACTTCTCAACACGTAAAACTAGGGGGTTGTCTTAGGAATTTCAGCAGAAGACTCTTAACGAAAAAATCTTAACGATCGATGACTTCTTCTAAAGGTCACAGCTATCTTGACGGCTTTAATGTCGCAGTCACACCATCTTCTGTCATTTTTTGTACTTGATCGCCTTTAATGACCCCTAATGTGCAATCAGAGGGCAAAGACACCTGAAGAAGACAATTGTCGACGAAAAATAAAAACGTTTCTGACGATCTATTGATGCATGTACTTCTTTCTTGAAATTTCAATTCCACAATTTAACTCTCATTTAGAAGCGTTTATTTAAACGATTATGTTAAATTTTGAGGCTCATATATATTTTAAAAATCTTGAAAGATGTTTTAAATTATAAGCCTTAGTGAGAGATCTTTCCACTGATTATTTTCATCAGTTTTGTCTTTGTACCTGGTGTAGCCCCATTATATCTATCTATAAGAAATCTGTACTGATAGTTTGCAACAGGTAAACCATGATATCTATCTGTAAGAAATCTCTTTATTTATTTTGCAACAAAAACACCGAGATACCTATTTGTAAGAAATTATTATATTTATTTTGCAACAGAAACACCATGATATCTACATATCAGAAATCTATATTTATTTTTCTGCAGAAACGCGGCTACTTTATCAAGCATACTTCACCCAATATTAAGCAATTTTCTGTGATGTATATGTGTCTTTTTCAGTTATGTTTCTACACTAGCCATAATGTGGTATCACCGGTTTATTTCAATGTGCTATCAATACTGTGCTTGCTCTGAAGAAGGTCCTAATTGCATCCACATTCTTATTAAAAGAATCGTCGATCTTTTGTTGTTTCATAAGGAAAATAATTAGCGCCATATAATGCCGTATGAAAGATAGACAGTCAGACCAAATTTCCCGCATTGTGGAGGGGGGGGGGGGGGTATTTAATGGTGCCGCACACGCGCTAATGGCGACAAATCGCTGACTTTTTTCATTTTTGTTTTGCTGCTTGGATATTTATTTTAATAAAGCCATCAGACCTTATTCGCCTCTCTAAAATTTTGTAACAGCTAGAAGCACCTCTGGTGGAGGGTTACCCTATTCCAGGCGCGGCTAAGTCTCTAGACTATTTGTTATTGATGACGTATTTATGATTGGCCTGCGTCTGGTTGTTTTAGTGACACAAGTCAACCCCAACTATTTTAATAGCTCGAAAATATTCTATATAATTGAAGATGTCGGAATGTGGCACATTAACGGCATTAGAATTTCAATTTAAATTAATCATCCTGAACTTAATGAATTGAGCTGTGCAACAGAAGAATTTGATGAGGACTATAAACTGTGGTAAGACATTGTAGTGTCACCAGATTCAGATGACGGGCGGTGGTCATTATTTCATTTTTTCTCTCTATTTCTATTTCTCTTTCTATCTCTCTCTTCGTTCCGACTTCCTATCATTCCATCTGTATATCTTTCTACATGTACCGTTCCGTTTTTTTTCTAATTCTCTGTATATATATATTTTTATTTTTCCTTATATTTCTTTGTCTCTGTTTTCGTTCGTTCTTTCTTTCTTTATTTTTGTTCAGATGGGATGTTAACTTCAAAAACGTCAAATATGAAGAGGATTTTTTAAAACACTATGAATGGAGAGGCGCGCGGAGAGGGGGCTTCGTCGTCCTCACTACACACCGTGCAAGTACCGGAACATATAAAAAGCCTCACAAGTAAGGCAAATGTTGCCTGTTTTCATTTTCAGTTACTTTATATCGACCAGAAAGGAAGATGCAGGGATCTAAAATCTGCGACAGGCCGCTTCTGCACGTGAGTTTTTCCTTTACATTATTTTATTTTGTTCATATTCGAGTGTTGACGCCATAGAAAAATTATTTGTAGTCACCTTATGCATTAGCTAATCACACAGAAGCAACAAATCTCTTTCTCTGTGTACGTAAATGACGAATGTGACAACTTCACGACACGGATGATGACAACTGTAACAATACACCAGCACCGCAGGCACGACACGTATACGTAATATTATAAGTTTGAAGTACAGGTAATATAAGCTTAGACATGTCCAACAAAAACAAAATGCTCTAAGAAAGTATTATATACGTTAATACACGTGTTGCTGTGAAGATAGATGTTTTTTATAAATGGTAAGTTCTCATAAAGAGAGTAGGGGGAATAGTCACAACGCCTACTCATTCTATGCAATAATAATAATAATAATAATAATAATAATAATAATAATAATAATAATAAAGGCGTCGATCATTTAAAACATGTATATATATATAAAGTTTGGTGACTTGTAGGCCCATGAGGCCGAGTGATTCATATACTTATATATTCACATGTCACGTTAATAAATAAATAAATACTATGTACGGTAGCAAAACGTTGATATTTTCATAATTGTAGCAACATTGCTGACGGCTGATTTTGGTTAGTTACTGATTGCTTGGTTTATTTCATACATATTCAGTTTTAGTATAGTAGATTCAAGTAGCTGATAATTACAACGCTGCCTGCTTGACGGAGACTAAAACGCTGTGAATCTCTGCCTTGGGCCTTGTTCAGCACCGTTCAAGTTAAAAATGCTTTTAGATTTATTTTCTGAGAGAAACGGTTAGATTTCACGCACACTTGTGTATTACAACAATCTGTTGGTAAAGTTGATTCAGTGGTAACAAAAGTTTACACTTTGCCCCAGACGATGTGTCCGTCGAAGCGTTCTATATACATCCAGGGGTTAGACTTAAAACCAGTTTTATAAAAACGGTGCAGGATGCGACCCATGGCAAGTGGGAAGCGTACTTTTATCAGCACCATGACAAGTGACATATCAGTTATGTCGATCACGTCAACTCTCTAAATGCGTAGGTCCATATATATTTTATATGATATCTAACTGAATACAAATGATAACCCGTATCACTCAGCAGGGAGCACACAGTGCAGTGAGGTAGATATATTATACCACTACAAATACTCACAACACGTGGCCAGCCTCACCTGGCAGTGAAGCAGGCAAGCCGGCGGGGGGAGGGGGGGGTCTTGTCGCTCGAGATTATATGTCAACAGTACACCATGTCTCATTTCTTTCTCAATCTTTTTTTTTTAATCAGTTGCATATACAAAGTAATCTATTTCGGAGGGTGGGGGTTACCACTCCAGATTTGTAAGTTCATATTTCAAGATCTCATTTTTCCCAACAAAGTAAAAGTTCTATGCAGATCAATAGATCAGTCTATCTTACATATTGAAATGCAGTGACTATAATATTGAGACGGATACTGTTTCTAGAGTATTGTAGAACAAACACCAGTTTGTATGTATGTATGTATGTATGTATGTAAATCTACGCCACTTCTCAAATTGAGCGGTACACTTTACTGGACCAGTCTGGACCGGTCCACTTTCACAGGTCTTAATGTAAAATTATGCTACACGGAGCTTAACTCCCCTTTCGCGAGTTCTTTGCCACAAGTTCTGCTTTCTGTTACTAACAGTGGGGGCTACACCACGGTGACTCTCTCGCTTACATGTAGTAGCCTGGGCCCGGTTGCACCAACAGGGCGTAAATTTACTCGGCTACGACTGTCGTAAACAGCAACGCCTGGCGTCCGTGCGCCAGGTTTACTCTTCCTGCTTACGTCCGTTGCACCAAGACAAAAACTGATCGTCGTAACTACGCCCGAGTAACGCTCCGTTGCGCCACTGGCCAACAATACGTGGATGGTATAATTGGGCAAATGAGGAGTTCTCAGCTGCAGTCATAATGGAATGATGACATAAATAAACACAAAAGGAGCATTTCAGTGACGGAGAAATTCATGAGCTACATTATTCCATTTTGATTTAGAAATAAGAACGTTAAAATACGTTAACTTTGCTGTTGCCTTGGATATATAGCAATAAAATCGTAAATATATTCCGAATCAAAATATTATTATAGTATGCTATGTATGCTATTATAGTATGCTGTTGTAAATGAGAAAAACGCGTTGGAGGCAGTACGTATTTCTATTAATGGATTTGAACACTTTCACATTTGTTATTGGAACATTTGAGTCTGAAAATAATCAAAAAAAGCCAGCATTGCTTTCTTTTTATAATTTTACTACAATTTCATGACCTTTTTTATCTATGGTTACACCGTGAGGTATCATTTAATTCAATCGAGCTTACATCTTGGAGATTGAGAAATACAAGAGACCTAATACATATTATATGAGCCTTAAAATGTTGATATTTTAAGCTTTCGTCTCTATGTTTATATATAGTAAAATATGAATGATATAAAATGTGAATAAAAAATGACTATGGTTTGTTATGGTTTGTCAAAAATCGTGAAAAGAATTAAAGACACCGTACTGCTGAGAGCCAAGGCGTGTCGACATGAGTGGTAAGATTTAATTTGAACACATGCATGTACATGTACATGGCTACACACATAATGTATTTAATAATCAC